GGCCCGTGGCCCACGCGCTCCCTTGTGCTTCTTTGCAGCCAGAGCTTGGTGCCAGGCGGCGCAGAAGTTCACGGGAGGGCTCGGCAACAAGCTGTGCGGTAAGGGCGGCCGCGGCGGGCGGGGGGCCCGCGCTGCGCCGCCGCGCTGCTCAGCCCCGTGTCCCTGTCGCTTCCAGCCCTGCTCTACGGGGACGCGGAGCGGCCCGCGGAGGCGGCGGCGCCGGGGGCGGCGGAGCGGCGGCCGCGCTGCGCCTGCGGCCAGAAGCCCTGCGGCTGCCCCGGCGCGGGCGCCGGCTACGCGCTCCTGCACGCAACAGGTACCGGCGCCTCCGGGCAGCTCGCGCGGGGAAACAGCGGAGATGGGGGGGGAAAAAGCAGCGCTTGCGGGGGAGAAACGCTGCGGGGCCGGCGGCTCCGGGCCCGGCCACCCCCCGCGCCGGGCGGCTTCGGAAAACGTCGGGGAAAACAAAACCCAGAACCACCAAGGTAGAAAAGACAACAAAGCAGCAGCAACAAAGCAATAACCCGGGCGGCTCTGTGAGGGAATAGTGACAGCGGCCACCTTCTCGGTGCAGCGCGATTAGGCTCACGGAGAAGGAGGGCGGGAGCGCGCTTTCTCGATGCTTGGCGTAAATGCAGGGTTTTTTTGCCGTTCATCTTTCTCTGACCTTGGAGATAGCCCCGCCGCTCCCGAAGACCGGGTTTCCTGTAGGAAAGGCGGCGCGGGTGGGCGCGTGGCAGCCCCGGCAGGCGCTGCCCCCGCCCGCTGCCGCGGCCCCGCTCCGCGCGTCCCCCCTGCTCCAGCCCGGGCAGAACATCCCGCTCCGACACACCGGGCGCTCTCGCTTTGGAGATAAAAACGGTAAATTATCAACAAGTGACTTGCAAAGCACTGCGCWCGGCGCCCGCAAGGAAGGTGTTTTGTTGCAAGGCAAATGACAATTTTGAGAGAGCTTCTTGAAGCACTGAWTTTTTTTCCAGTCCCTTTTTTCCCCCTCACTGATTCGTTTCCCTTCTTTCTGCTTTACCTGCTCTCTCCCTCTCTGTCTGTCTTAAAATTGGTAAATATGCTCTAGGCAAAAATAGCCATTTTAGATGAGAATTAAAAATCTGACTACATTTCTTAGTACATTCTTTCAAATAGCATCCTAACCAAATTGCTTAATAAAGGAGAAAGTTCTTTTTTGTTGTTGTTGAAAAGAGTACAAAGATTTTTTTTCAAAGTAAATGGGAGAAGACTGTGTCCCAAATCTATTCATAAAGCCATAAAATCAAGGTAACTTTTAATTTCTCCTTTCCCAGATCTTCTGCCAGCATGCAATGGAGAAATAACAACAATGTCTTTCCTACAAGATGTTGTGGACATTTTACTTCAGTATGTGGTGAAAAGTTTTGATAGATCAACAAAAGTTATTGATTTCCATTATCCGAACGAGCTGCTCCAGGAATATAACTGGGAACTGGCAGATCAGCCACAAACCTTGGAAGAAATTTTATTGAACTGCAGAACAACTCTGAAGTATGCAATTAAAACAGGTAATAGCYGTGCTCATTTTCTCCCCTGTATGGTTTCATCCATTGATTAAAGGTGTCATTTCATCCCATCTTGAAGCATTAAGGATTCAAACAGCCCTTGTATTTTGTCAGTTTTTAGCAGAGACAAGGATCATTTTCCTAAATGACAAAAYGCTCTAGCAGCCCAGCCACTGTAACTCAGTGCAGCATTACGCGCCCTTCCTAATTTAAAATGAATTCTCCTGTGCAGCCGAGTTGTTCATTGCATCCACAAGCAGTATTTTAACCACCTTTGTAACCTTCCTCCCTTCCTCTCCATCCATTTTACCTGTTGTGGGCTGGGGATCCTGTCTCGCTCCCTGCAGGTGGCTGTGCGGTGGGATGCAGAGCCGGGATGGGCTTGTTTGGGGTGGGGGGGTGGAGAACGGGGACAGGCACCAGCCCCTTTGACAGCCAGAAATGACAATAAACGTCCTGTAAATCAGGAGCTCTGAACGGCCATTTGCTATCTTTGTCTGCTTACCTGCAGGACAGAAAAATCAGAAAATCAGGCAGAATTGAGCGTAGGAGAATAGTGGAGGATTTTTTCAACTCTAGAATCGAGGAATAAAACTAAAGCTAAATGATTCTAATGTTTGAATAGACATTTTATTATTTTTTCCTGGGAAGGACAGGGATCATTTAATTCCTTTTTGTGCCCGGCCCCATTAGTTGCGTTCCTCCCCATCCCACCCCCAAAGCTGGGTTTAACCTGCGCCGCTCCRCGCCTGCGGAAGCAGCTCGGCTTGGGAAGCCCGCGGCTCCGAGTCCGGGGCCACCTTAAATAAACTGCCGAGGAGCAAGCAAAAAAGCACAGCTACAATTATGGCTGTGATGGAAAAATAATTTGGAGTCCAGGGAGCTCTTAGTGGAAATTCGAATTACTGAGAAATTATTTAAAAATAAGTGTGTATCAATTAGTGCGACAGCCTCAGAGGTGGAGGGGAGAATAATGACAGTTTTTGTCACCTTCAAGGAGCAAAACAGAATGAGCCCAGCACAGATTGCTGGGGATTTTTGTAACCCTGTTCTTTTGGAGGTGGGACTATCCAGTCGAATGCTTTTGATATATGACTCYGGTGCTATCAAAACATCTGTAAAATATTGGAATAAGTAGTTAGATAAATGGTGTCYGCAGGAACAAGTCAGTCGATAGATCTGTGCCGTGTGTCTCAGTATAGCATACAAAAGGTGTTTTCACTGAATGCTGTGAAACCCAGAATCTCCAAATTTGAAATAGAATAATAGGGTTTCTGAAGCAATTTTCRTAAAGCAATTTTTCATATTCTGCTTCACATAATAGACCCATTTCATTTTATGCATCCAAAAAGAAGCTTCAAAACAATGTTGTAATSTCTTCAGCCTCACGAATATGCGAAGCATGAATTTCTTCCTTTATTTTTTTTTTTCTTTTTTCGTAGTCTTATTTGTTTATTTATTCTAATTGAAGCTGTGTGGTAGAGGTTCGGACGCGGGTGCTGGGGGAGGGCGGCGCGTTGCCTTGCTCTCCGCTTGGCTGCCGATGCTCTTCAGCATCCCGGGGCGCCTGCCGCATCTCGGCGCCCTGGGCGTCCGGCAGGGATGGGGGCTCAGGAAGCGTGGAGCGGATTTGCACCCCGGCGTGATGTGTTTCTCGGCTGTAAAGCGCTTAAAATGCCCTCGGGGAGGGGTTTGTGGCTGGGAGAGTCCTTCCCTACGCTCCGGCTCTGGAAGCCCGTGGAGGGGAGCGTGGAAGCCGGTGCCTGCCGGGCACGGCGTGGAGACCAAGCAGGCAGCTTGGAAAATGAACCGTGTTGCTTGGAGSAGCCTTGTCCTGCGTGGGGGCATCCCCAAAAGCAGCCAGGATTGTCCTGGGTGGGTAGGTCGCTGGCAGCTCGGGCACGGGGGTGCTCAGGTACCCGCCTGGGCGCTGCTCTGCAGGCGGCAGCGGCCCCGCTCGCACGCAGCCTCCTCTGGGATGAAGCACCAGGCAGCGCCTGCCAACAGCAGGCGAGATGGACRGGAGATTTGGGGAAGGGTTTTCAGGGGAATTTACAACGCAGGCAGTTAAAATTGCCTCGATCCACCCCAAAGCCTCAAGGGGCTGGGATCCCCGCACGTTGCTCCGGGTGCCGGCACAGGCCTGGGGTTGCAGGTGAGCCCCGACCTCGGCCACCCTCAGCCCTCACCAGCGCTGCCGCTCCGTGTCTCCCCATGGAGGCTCCGGAGGCCACAGTTCAATGGGGGGTGGGTTTAGGGGAGGCACAGAGAAACTGGATATTACTAAAGCCATTAGGAAATAGGAGTCTCCCRTATTTCCACGCCTCTTTCCTCCTCGCCCCTGCCCCTGTTGTCCCTATTTCAGGCCCCTCTTTGTTTGCTTGGTGATGGTGGTGACAGATGAGCTGCTTTTCGGATGAGAGGCACCTTGAGCCCCTCACAGAAACCTTCCTCACCCACCCATCATCATCCTCACCATAGTGTGGCCACCCGTGTACAGAGAGCTCACTCGGGTATTAGGGCAGCACAAAGAAGGGCAAAATCTTTCCGTTTGGGATCAAGGACTAATCGGTAAACTAAGTTTCCTGCAGCTCCATGTGGAGGGAGGAGTGCGCGGAGGGAAAGCCCGCTCTTCAGTGCCGAATGCACGTGAGATTTACCGGGATGGAGCAGAGCCGTCGTCAGTGGGGTCCCTCYGAGTGACATGGAGCGGCTCTGGCGCCGCCTGCCCTGCCCTGCCAGCCCCTCTCTCCCGCAGCTCCRGAGCGGGAGGTTTGGTGTGAGGCTTCCTTGTAGAAACAACGAGTGACAACCAGGGTGAGAGTCCCCTGGGGCTGGTTGTGCAGCCTGACACGGAGCTGCTGAGACGTTGTAGTTATGAGTATGAATTTTGTAGTTGTGAGTGTGAATTTTGTAGTTAGGAGAATGAGTTTTGTTATTCCACAGCTTTTTGCTGTGGGAAAAATGCACCTTTTTTTTGGGGAAGGCGCCTCTCTTTGCCTCCCGGAGCCTTCCCACGGCCCAGACTCGGCAGCGGCGCTCGGCTCCAAGTGCCCCCTTGCCTGCAAGGGGGATGTGGGATCCGCTAAATCTGCCGGGTAACTGCGGAAGGGGACTGTCGGGGCAAGGGAGGCGCCTGGGAAGTGGCTGGCAGCAGCAGGGCCCCTTTGCTGCTCACCACGAGCTGGATTTTGTCCTCCCCCCAGCTCATCCCCCCGCCTGCAAAGTCCCATTACGCAGCCTTTGTGCAGGGGAAGGTGGGACTCAGGGAGCAATTCTCCCGGTATAATTCTCCAAGCCATGTGCACGCGCCTGATAAGAGGCTGCTGGAGACTGGAGATAGTTTTCCCTTGATTCTTGCTGTGCATTTCCTCCGTCATCTTGCTCTCTCTTTGTTTTCCATGAAGGCAGTAACAGTGCRTAGCCCACGGGTGAGGACGGGTGTTTGTGCAGCAGAGATGCTCCCCTTGGAGCTAGAGGCACCTCGGTCGCTGTCAACCGTCCGCAGTCCCTGCTGACGATTCCTGCACGTACAGGGGCTTGCAAGGAGCTAGCAGTAAAACCTGAGTTTTAATGGTTTGCATTCCTCCTCTTAATGGCGCTCAGCAGATTTTCCAAAGAAAAATCCCTGACCGGATTTTAGGGAAATTCAGGAGTCAATTAGAACACGCACGTAAATGGACCATCAGTGTCCATTGAGCGTGGTCTTGTGCATCGTTCCGATGTGACAACAATGCTGTTTTAATTGGGTTTATTTAAAACCACAATTACAAGCAGCTATTTATAATTGCACTCTGACRGGGAAGAAATGACAAGTACTGCCACCTTCCCTGCCATCTTTGTACAATCATCAGCCTTTGAGTCATGTGCAAAGCAGTCACCAAAATGTTCCATTTTCTCATTTTGCTCCGTCTATTATAATCATTAGCCATTCATCACTGATGTTATATGTCCTGGCAAGCTCTTCAGATGGTGTCTCGTGCATGCCTTTCAAACCTAGCCAGGCAAAAACACATTCAGTGACAACATGTGACACACTAACCGGGGCAAACAGCTATTTTTGTGAGGCAGCATCCTATTAATTTTGAAAGCAAATTGAAAGGATAATGGAGAATGCTGGAATTCATTATTCCACATTCTACATAATTACTCCGATTTTAGTTAGCTTAGAATGAGAAAGAGGAGAAATCCTGCATTTTCCAGGAAAATCTTTTATTGTTGCTTTGTTCCATACCTTTCTTGTGCATAAAAATCCTGGGTTGAATATACTATTCAGCACTGAATAATTTCATCCTGTGACACCAGCCTTTTAGTAATGTTTTCCATTTTATGCAGGGCATCCTAGATATTTTAATCAACTTTCAACTGGATTGGACATGGTTGGATTGGCAGCAGACTGGCTGACATCAGCAGCAAATACTAATATGTAAGTAGCACAATTTTTCCCTAATAATGTTTAGTACGGTGATACAGTGATGTTCTGCAGTATTAGCTGCTGTAGCTGCATGAAGGCAGGAGTATGTTTACGTTAAGGTTTTTGGAAAACASTTACCCTATTTTAAAATGTTTTTGTATTTATTATTTATAGGAAGACTTTCAATGTTCTCCTGTAGACTGCCTTCCTTAAAATTTATTCTTATTATATATGATGCCAGCTTTGCTAACTCGCCTTTAAATGAACAGAAAAACTATTTCAGTATTTTGCAGRTGTAAATATGTAAAATGAAATGCATGGTGAATATACAATAACATTTATATGAAGGGGAGGGTATAACCCATATTAAGAGCAGTTAAAGCCCTTGCTGTCTGCATCTCTCAAGTGTTTTTTCCAGGCTTTGGGACTATATTATTTATGTCCCTGCTTAGCTTCATGAATTGTCTTGTCATCATAGGACTATTAATGTGTATTAATGCAGAGGTGCATGCAGGTTTTTGCAAGACTAACATCTGGTTCTGGCCAGCAGGTCTTGCCCACAAGGCAAAGCTCTGAACCTGGAAAAGGTGGGCATAGGTTGTTTGACTGAAATGGGTGGAAATCAGAAGGAAAATTATCAAACCTTACAAAACAGAGCTCTGCCCACAGCAAGCTAGAGTATCTCATGGCTATTGTGTGTTGTAATGTTGGGAAAGGATGTGTTAGTGTTGTAGATTAAAACATTAAATATGGACATTACTACATTTCAGGTTCACCTATGAAATTGCTCCAGTGTTTGTACTTTTGGAATATGTCACCCTAAGGAAAATGAGAGAGATGGTTGGCTGGCCCGGGGGCTGTGGCGATGGGATATTTTCACCTGGTACATGATCTTTCAAGCTTTCTTTATTTTTCACACTATGCTATGAAATCCTCCATAGTTAAAGAGTAAATATAATGATATGCATGTTAAAGAGGACACTTGCTAATGACCACCAGTGGCCTCTTTGAGATAACACATTGCATGTTTWTGAATTTCAAGGGTGGGAATATGAGTGTTTGCGCAAATTATAATGCATTATGAACAGCTGTATTGGCATGGGAAGCATAATCAGAAGAGATATTTGCCTTGCAGTTTTGTTCTACCCCTAGTCTCTTAGAGAATACATGAAACAGAATATAGTCTTAWTAATAGAGCAAAGAAGCAGCTCTCCATCACTGCAAGGGAAATTGGGGTCAGGAGGAAGAACACAGCATCCCTATAAGCGAACTGAGTGGATGGGTAAGATCCCACCAATGCTACATGATATGTTTGACTTTATGAGTCAAAGATGGGCCATATGAGTTAGCCTCTTGAGTTGTGTGGAATACTTGAGTGACTATTTTTTGTGAGCGCGTAAAGGGTCAGAGACTTGGTTCCTTCAGAGCAAGTCACAAAGGCAGAAAATGACAAACTAGAGAAATCATTGACCCTCATGAGCACTACATTTTTTTAAAGGTTTTTTTTTTTTTAATTTTTCCACTTAGTCTTTTGATTTATATTTTCTGTCACGTCCTATCTCACTCTGGAACTTTTATTACTAAGAATTTTGGTCTTTCTCCCCAAATTGCAAAAACTGAAAAGAACGGGGATTGAGCACAGCGTCTTAGCTTGGCAAAAGAGCACAGAGTGATAGTGGGGAAGGTGTTCTTCTGGAAGGAAAGCTCATTGACCTAATAGAGAGAGAAATTATATTTTGGCTGTCGATCAAAGGGACTTCATTGCTCATCGCCTAGGTAATTTAAATCTCCAAGAGCAGGAAGGGTAAAATTCATGCTGTATGGACCAAAAATTCACAATTTAATTCTCACATCTGAATGCATGTGTGGAAGGAGTTTTGTGCCTTTACCCAGAAGTGGCGAAAAAGATGAGAATTTGTAATACTTCTTAATGAGTCCTTATCTAAAAAGCAGTAAGAGCAGAAACTCTGACAGCTTTTAATGTAGTGCTTAGAGGTCCTGACCCAGACCATGACCTCCGTCACACTGGTCAGCTTTTAAACTGATACCWTGAGACCAGATCCTAAGTCAAAGTTTTTCTAAACTGGTCAGTGTCTGATTATTGTCCATAGTCACTGAAGTAGCTCGATGCAGCTGCTCTTCAGTTTTTCCCTTTGTGAGCTTGAGCTGGGCTGGGCTGAGCAGCAGCCCAAGTGTTAGGCGCAGTTCATAGCCAGGTGTGCAGCTCAAGAACAGGCAGCATACACAGATGAAGGGCTCATCACAAGCATGAAATCTGCCAAGGTTTGTTGCACTGTGCCTGAGATAGCATGAGCCACAAAWTGTGTATACAGCAGGAGGAAGTCCAGCATCTCCAAAAGCAGTGAAGGGTCCATCCCTAAGATCAGTGTATTGCCAGTATTTTACTTAGTGGGTCAAATTCTGGGACTTGCTCTGTGTAGTCATGATGTTGGTGCTCTAGGTGTGAAGAATAGCAGGGTAGAAGTACCGTGGGAGGGTGAGGGAAGGAGGTTTGTTTTCTGCATTTCTGAGCTTGGGTTTTCCGAACTAGAAGCAAAGACAAATCCAAGCTCCAGTTCTCCTATCTCCGTCTCACAGCACAGTTGACTTGCCCAGCTCTTGGCTTAGTGAGAAGGTAAAATAGATCCTGAAAGAGCCAGAGCTGAGGGTGGCAGCTCGGCTGCTACAGCCCCCAGGAGGAACACTCTTCTAGCAGCCGCATTTGTGCCTGTGTCCTTGGGGAGTGTTACCTGGTCTCATTCATTCTTTCTGTATAATTTCTGCTCTGAGTGAAAAGGGCATGTTTTCAGTTCACTTTGCCAAGGGAGCAATAGCTAGTAGACAGGGTCAATTTTTGTTAGGTAATATTCAAAATTATTTTTATCTGCTTGCTCTTTTCTCATTTCTAAACCATCAGAGCTTCAAATTAAGACCCTACTGTTGCAAAGAAAAGATTCTTGCTTTATGCATTCTGTTATGAAATACAGGGTATCAATACATACAAACCATAATGGTCTGATTAGGATCTCCAGTCTCTGTAGGTGTGTTTTGATGCCTGCCCTTGATTGTGGGTGTAAACACAACTGCAAAGCTAAAGGCAAAATGTGGACTCGTTAATAAGCTTAAGGTTAAATGGCTAGATAATAAATAGTGATAAAAAAAAAAAAAAAAGTGATATTGAGGAAACTGTGTTTTAGTCTTGATTCTTCTGATACTGAGCTAATGACTTTGGACAAAATAGTTATGCTGAGTTTCTTCAACCTGGACATCCTAGTTCAGCCACCTACCAAGCTATTCGTGGCCCCTGATTTTTTTAGGGGAAGCTGTATGAGCATTTCCTCATGATCTCTCCCTTTGTGGTTTCCTCATTTGTAAAAAGAGGGATAGAAACATGTACATTGCAAAAAATTGACAGGGGAAAAAAMTTTCCCCCTTCCCCTTAGCAGTGGTGCTGGATCACTGTGACTCGCAGCAGGGCAGCAAGGTCAGGGAAAGCCCAGAGCAGGGGCTGCCTCACTGCAAAAGCACCATCAGGGCACTGATCACAAATGAAGGGCAGAGCGTGGTTTCTCTGGGCTGGGGAATAGCAGATATATCTTAAATGGGATAAATACAACTCATATGAAAGGCAAGAGAGTGCTAGATTTACTGGCACTTGTCCTCTGCTGGTGTAATGCATCGTTAGTGTCAGCAGAGCTACCCTGATTTCTTTTCAGGCTGGGATTTAACTCACCCCACATTGGCTGCCCAAGCATCAGGTGCCTTCCCTGGGCTGGCTGCAGAGACTCCCTTGTATTCAAGAGAGAGGGATAGATACCTTGAAAGGGCAAGTCAACTCTCTTCTGCAAAAAAATTACCTTAGGCTGAGCTTAATCCTCTCTTGGAAGTGCCATCCCTATTCCCTTCCACCAGAGAAGAGCCTGGCCTCAAGCAGACATGACATTTTTAAATGGATGAAAGTTAAGTTGCTTCAACACTTTAAAATCATAATCAACATGTGTGTACATATATAAATATACATGTACAACATGTGTGTATATATATATATACATACAAGCACATTTTATTTACGTAAATATATGTATAAATACACATACAGTATATACAGTAAATATACAGGACAAAACTGATGGATTATATGTATACATGTTTGTGTATATGTGTATGTATATAAAAGTGCTCAGACTTTACCTCAGGTTCTGCATTATATTCCATTATATATTGCATAATATTATAATAATATTATTATGTTATGTATTATATAGTGCTCATGCAGTGTTAATGTACAGCCAAACATTGTTTGCCTATAGACACAGAGGCTCGGTCTGTAAAAACCTCAAAAGAGCAAACAAAAACCTCCTTTTTTAGTTAAGTTTAATTAATAATTGAAATTCAGAAACAAAATCCATTTAGCATCTGATGCTTGAAATGACTTTTTTCTTAAGTCAATGTATGCCAGTGATTTTAAGGATAATATTAGGGAAATCTAACTTTTGCTCTTCCTCTCATGGGAGGACTCATACAAAAAAAATATTTGCTAGGGTGACTGTGTCTTCCTTTCTCTTCCCCGCCCCTGCGGCGGGTGTTTGGGTGGTAGTGCTAGTTGGGGCAGGCGGTGGGTCACTCGGAGATGGGCAGCCCACTGGCTTGGGATGGGCTGCACTTCCCTGCAGTGGTGGCTGCTCGGGAGTGGAGCAGGGCACCGAGCGGGGAGCACTTGTTGGTAGCCTGTGGGCAGGTAAGGTTAGGGATGAAGGGAGACGTGATGAGAAAAGAAGGATGAAAGGAAACCTCAGCTATTTTTACTAGAATTACTTTCCACTTAAGCCATTACCCGGGTGTAGTAGATCCCCTTACCTATAAGCCAGCTGTGAGGAATAGCAGAAGGAAGAATCCTTGTTTCTGCAGTTCGAATTAGAAAAGCTGTAGCAAGACTTGTCATTTGTACTGCAATGCTATTACAATGCATAGAAAAAGTAACAGTATATTACTGTGGACTCCAGGTGGTGCCATATCTAACATGTATGCTATGTTGATTGCACGTTTCAAGATGTTCCCAGAAGTTAAAGAGAAAGGAATGGCAGCTATTCCCAGACTGGTTGCCTTCACATCAGAACATGTATGTGTTACTGCTTTTTTTTCCTATCTCTTACTCTTGGTTTTATGAATTAAGTGATGATGAAGAGAATAGCTAAGCAGGATTTTGTAGCTTACTGTCTTCATTTCTGTTGTTCATTCACGGGCAATAAAAAATGGGGAAAGGGCTGGCTTCTTGGTACATGGAGGGATGAACTGAAATGTAGGAGGAGCAGCCTCTGCAGGCCTCTGCAGCTCTCCTGCTCTCACGTGCATCAGTGTGAACATTTAGCTCAGTGCCCAGAAGCTCTGCTGAAGGCCACATCAAGCAGGGAGAATTCGACTGCTGAACTTTCAGGCAGGAGTGTCCTCGTTCAGGTCACTAGTGGAACAGCAAATCCCTGTGAATCAGGATGTTAGTAGGTGGAAGCTCTCCTGCAGTTATTTGATAATAAGGTAATAACACACATGAGGACAGTGGCAGCGCAGGGCTTTGTACAGCAGAGCAGCTGCTGGCAGTGCTGGCACGTGCAGGCTGCTGGGCACGTGAAGGGCAGTGGGTGCAGAGGACATTGCAGGGCCTGCACRGGGCACAGGTGGAGCTTCTTGCTCTTCACACAGCCACAGAAGTCATTCTGCTGTCTGCTTGTCTGTCTGTCTTRTGGGGGTTATTTGGGCTTTGTAGTGAAGAACGTGTGTGCAGAAAAATGTGGGAAAATGAAGAGTTATAAGCAGAAGGGGCTGTGAGCTGCCTCCAAGCTTCACAGTCTCCTTCTAAATCTCCGATTTAGAAGAAACTCCCACCTCAGTGGGCTCAGACAGAAAATGCTTTTCCACTGCTGGGCCTCAGCAAGATGCTGCCCAGGTTAGGTGGCAGCATCTTCAAGGACCTGGCTGCCTTCTTTCACTTTTTCAGAGACCATGTTTCCAATCTTYACAGYKTGTYAGGGATCTCACAGACCYGCTGCAATCCCTGACACAGYGTGAAGAGCTGAATGTCCTCAAACATTATCAGAAATATTTAGGGGGAAAACCCTCTGAGGATGCCCTTCATGGCAGTGGGAGATGTGACACTGAGCTGCAGGTTCCACATTGCAGATCTGCTGCCCCCAAATCAGTCAGAGAGAAAAATATTCAGAGGAGTAACAACTCTCCAAAGTTAACCGTACAACTACAGATGCATTATTCATATGGAAGCTATGGATCTAATAAGTCTTGCAAATAAGGTTCAACATGATTATTTCAAATAAGAAATCCTATTAATCATTAGAGAAATTCATTGTATTCATAGCACTGGAATTTTAAACAATGGAATGTTAACCAAATTGTGCTCTCTGTCCCAAAATAATGAAATGAACTTTAATAATTGTGTTTTCATGCCAAGGAAGAAGCTTCTCAGCAAATTAAAGATTCCAGAATCAAATATACTACTGAATCCACAGTAGCTTCTGAAGTCTGTTAGATCTTTTAAGTATTTTGAAATTATAGTTCATTAATTTCTCCCAATTCCTTTTTCAATGAAATAGGTAATAGCACTTAATCTAGGAAAGTTATGAAACCAAGCTAAGTAAAGGCAAGATCCTTTAACCCTTAACTTCCCAAAATATACACAATCAAGTCTTTAACCTTCAAAATAAGAGAGGAATTACAGAGAACCGGGAGTATAATCCCTCTTTCTGAAGGAAATGTCACTCCAGATCTGAACAGACACTAAGACATAAGAATGTTTTTTGTCTTATTTATCATGCTATGCTGGTCTTATGCTTCATTTTAGGTTATCCAGTCTAATACTTGTTCCTCCCACCACATTTGGAGGCTGTTGTGAGGCAATGGCCGTGGAGCAAGTGGTCTATAAACTAGATACTGTCATTTCCCCATAGTCTGTCTATGGCATGATAGTAAGGAAAGCTTTGAAGTTACGATATACATTGAGATTTCTCTGGTGAGAATTGCTGAAGCAAAGATGCCAATATCAGCAGTTCCCAGAAAACAGGGTCAGCCTCACGACCTGGACTCTCTTTTCATTTCTACCAATATAGACAGTGTCCATCACTTATAAATGAATGAAGTTACAATGAATATTACTGAAATCTGAATCTGGCCTCAATCTGATGCAATGGTAGGTTCTGCTGCCAGTGTGGGAAAAGGGAAAAGAAGGGTAATTTGCAGTTTCTCACACACAGTTCACTTCCTAACTTAGGAGTGCATTAAGTGCCTAAACTAGAGGCCTTATTGTGTGCACAGTCATTGAAGAGGACCATCTTTGGCCACTATCTAGAAACCCAGGTAATCCTTAATTTAGAGATCCTAGAGCACCTTCAGGAGTGGTTCACCCACTTCAGTGCATCAAGCACAAAGGAAGATCAGCCTCCTGACATACCCAGTCCGCRTTAGATGCCCCAAGTAGGTTATGTGACCATTTCAGCTGTGCAAGAACCTGTTGCACGAGGCTTTCCCACACAGTTCACTATGACTGTGACATATCTTTTCAGTTTTATTCTCTTTCACTAGTGATAATTAAGCAGCTTATACCTGCTTGTGTCAGTCTTGGCCCAGGTATAATTCCTCTGAGGTGCACTTGCTTATCTCAGGACTTAATTTGATCTTGCATATTCACAACTGCATCGTCAGTGGTTCTTTCATCTGCGCTGGGGCCCAGATGGGTAGAASTGAGAGATGCCAACTGTAACTATTTAAGTTTGTCTTTTCAAACACAACGATGAAAGCCTTCTCCTGTGCCCCGGTGCATCAGCGTTAGGCTGTTGTGAGTGTTCAGCTGAGAAGGTCTCTTTTTTAACGCAGAGAAAAGAGCTGAAAAACAGAGATAACTTYCCAGAATATTTTAGATTCATTTGTAAAGTCCCAGTGAATTTTAACCTCTTCCTTGTCATGGTTTTGACTGGGCCCTCTAGCACCCTCTTTGGCAGCATCCAGCAGTAGCTGGATAGCAGGGAACTGGCAGGCAAAATCCCTAGCAGGCAAAATGGGCAAAATCACCGTGTCCAGAGGAGGAGGCAGGGAGAAATAGTTTAGTTGTAAAGAACTAAGTTAATATTACAGAGTAATCCTTTTTTTTTTTTTTTTTTTTTTTGACAGTATAAAAATAGCTTAAGAGACCTGCAGTTTTGCAGGCTTGGTGTTCGATTGGTGGCCATATGGGCTTAATCTCCAGTTCAGGGAATGAGAGAATAATAAAAAAGTATAATTTGTGTAACTTTGGTAGGGAGCGCCCTGTCCTGGGAGCACTCACAGTGTCTGCACTGAATCTCAACCAGAGGAGGTGACTGGCAATAAGTCTTTGCTCCAGCTTCTCACACACTAATTTCCCCACGTGCCTCATTAATTGCAGGAAGAACAGCAAACAGCACCAGTATCCTTTGAGAAAAAGGCTTTTGAAAAAGGTTTTGTCCTAACAGTTTCTAGTATCGAGGTTCTTAGATCTGAGACAATAAAACTAGAAAGTGACTTCAGAGAGCTCTACAGACCTTCATTTCACAACGAACTTTCAAAAGATTCTGATTTTGTCTCTGTGTAGAATGATCTCTTAATCCCATCCCTTGCTATGACGCGTACTTGTTGTGACTTTAGCCAGGCGATTTAAGAGAGTTTTCAGGACCTGCAAGAAGGGATCGATGGATGAGCTCCGTGGTGGAGTTTCCAGGAAAATATGTGAGAAATCATAGAAATCATTATTTCCTTCTGGTGTCATAAAATATGAATTCAGTAGTTCTAACCATACCGAGTAAGTAGGAAATGTTTTTGTTTCCACCTAAGAAAACTCACAAATTCATGCATTTACACATTCTTTCTTTGTACTACCTAATGGACAATAAGTAGAAAAATGTTGTTTGCTGGTATTTGAAGCCAGAGGGAGACAGGTCTTGTTTGAAGAGCAAATTAATTCAAGTAACTCCATTCAAATCTATGCTCAGACTATAGCAAAAGAGACATTTGCCATTTGGGACAGTCTTGCAATATTTGATATTTTCTCCACTACAGAATGGAATGTTTCTCGTCTACAGATGGGACTGCAAAATCAGAATATTACTATCAGCACTGAGTGGATCAAATTGTAATAAATGCTCGGGTTTTTCTTGGACAAAAACAAACTGTGAGTCTTGCTAGATCAGAAAGGCAGGATAGAGTAGCTTCTTTCAAATGCAAAAGGTGTTGCATGTAAGCATTAAAATACTATTTTTCTCCTGATATTAACAAATAATGTTATAATTTTAATAGCAGTAACTAGAGGAAACATTACACATACATATACTTCATTATAGTGTGTTTAAAAATGAGATGGGACACAGTATGCTTTTTGGTACATAATTGAAGGAAAAGCCATAGCATGCAATTAGACATTAGAGACAGGATTCATCTCACTTAACTTTAATCACCTAAAGTATAAAAGTGTAATCTGAATTAGTCTATGTTCTTTTTATAGTCAATAAAAAGAGAGAGAGAGAGAGAGAGAGAGAGAGAGAGAGAGAGAGAGAGAGAGAGAGAGAGAGAGAGATCTGCAGAAGACAACTTATCCTGGTCTAAAATGGGTGCCAAAGCCTAGGGGATAAAGTGCCTCCTGGAGGTGTTTTTGCCTCCCTACTCTTGAGCACACATCCATTTTTAGGTAATTAAATTAAGTGATAAGGAACCTGACCTTCATATTCAAGAAACCCACCTTGGATCCTCTTGGCTTCTTTACCCTGTGGGAACTGAAGAGGAAGGTGCCATGAAAATCCAGCTGTGGCCTTTGGATTCACACCTTGTAGGGGTGATTCTTCCTGACAGCTTCAGGGATGCCCAGTGGTTAAATTACTAAGCTATAAAATGCGCTGATAGATTGACTATTGCAATAACAAAATAGAAGCCTATTAAAGCACTGTTCATTTAAGGTAACAATAGTTTTCCAAAATTTTCAGAATCATAAGATTTTTATTTATTCCAGATCCTRCTTTCTTCCAAAAGGCCTGTTTCATTCTTGCACCTGTACTAAATTTATGTTTTTACTCTACAAAGCTAATTTTGAAAAAAATGAATGGACAAACTTACACCTAACAGCATTTGAGATTTTAGACAAAGGGAAGATTTTCCCCGCTCAAAATCACTTTCTTTTTTTTTCTGACTAATAATACATTCTTGTCACTGAGATTGACTACTATTCTATTCTTGTTTCACCATTAARCTTTAACTATGTTTCTTTTCAAAAAGAAAATGAGGTTCCTTTCAAATCTYGCCCTTTCAGATTTCACAGAATCACAGAATATTCAAGGTTGGAAGGGACCTCTAGAGATCATCTAGTCCAAGCTTCCTGCTCAAGCAGGCACACCTACAGCATGTGGCACAGGGCGGCAGCCAGGCGGGTTTTGAAGACCTCCAGAGAGGAGACTCCATTTACCCTCACAGTAGGATAAAACGGAGTTATATCCCATACATCTGCAACCTTTTTTACACTAATACAAAGCCTTCAGCCACCTTTAGGAAATAACTCCAGTTCCTCCAAGTCTTTAACAACCTAAGCTGCCTATGAGGATTTTATTTCTAGTCTTTCACTCAGCATTTTGCAGTGCAAGGCCACATGAAAAAAGAAAGGAGAAGGATGCAGCACCCCTTGCCCCATTCCTGGCAAGCGTAGGAATGATGGTCAAATGGTCAAAGCGTAGGGTGCTGGTCGAATGATGGTAGTGATTTTGGCACTGCCTGTGTTCCTGAGACKGTTTCTTTGCTTCATAGCTGGTGTGCATCAGTCTGCCCCATTCTCCCTTTTGGAGCCCTCTTCGCCCACCAGAAGAATGACCTGAGTCATTCCTTCATGTCCATGCAGTAAGAGGCTCAATCTGTTCCTTCCATGTCTAGAGAGTCTGTAGCTCCATATCCCAAAAAGGGTCATAATGGATGTCCTTCTTCACCCTGGGAACCTCGTTGAACCTTTCAGTTACTTTGTCTGACTACAAACCCTTCCTTCTGCTAGACCATGATTACTTTTCTGTATTTACATTACCAAGTTTTCAGCACTCTTTTAGGACTACCAAAACAAATTTTACTAATCATCATCACTACGAAAATTTTCATGCTATTAATTTTTTTCCCTTGTTCAGTTTCATTCCAGCCCTTTAGTTGGAATGAAGTTTAATTAAGACACTTCAGTTTCTCTAGTAATTCCTCAGACATTACCTCAAGACACAAAAATTGAGCAGCATTCACGTGTATCTGACTATACATGCAGATYGAGCAATTTCTTATTCAAAGTTTGTTTAAAAATTGTAAGTGCATTTGCCCTTTTGCACAGACCTCTGTATTTCATCACTAACTTAACCCTAAACCTGTTCCTGCCTGCTAAGTTCCCATCAGTTTATGAATGGCTTTCAAGCATCTGAGATGTTCAGTGCTACTTTCATTTTTTCCCTGATGACATTTTACCAAGACCGTCAGACCTCTCAGCAAGGCAGCTAGGTTTGGCTTTATTCCAGGGGGTGCTTTTGAGCACATTAACTTAATTTTCTTTTCATAATAAATCATTCAAATCCATATTCTCTTCTTTAAGGTAGTTGGAATGGTTGTATTTTCTATTTAGAAAGACAAATTACAATAGTAAATCTATTTTAACTAGTATGGAATAAGGAGCAAAATTCATCCTTGTTTTAATGGCATTGAAATGAAACACAGTGAAATACATTTAACTAAAACTCCTCACCTTTGCTCTCTGTATTTATATATTAAACTACTCAGTATGTACCCAAGCATTTGTGCAATACAAGCATAAGGATTTTTTTTGACTAACGTCTATAAATTCATTTCTAGCTTCACAAAGCATAGGAATGAACTGTCATTATGGTGACAGTCTCTAATACTGTTCCAATTTTTGCAAAGGTCAAAGATATCTTCTAGACCTTGGGAATTTATCATAAGCCTCCTGGTGCTAGTAGCTTCCTCATAGCCTCTGGTAGACTCTGCTCTCATAAAGTTGCATCTCTGCATTGTGTGGCTCTGGTGGAGCTGCCAGGGAAGAGACGTAGGCRTCTCCTACAGATAGAGCTTTATGAATTGGTCACAGTCCAACTCTTAGTCTACAGAACTTGGGAAAAGAAGTCCTGTGTTTAGTGAAACCAATGAAGTTCATTGAAATATGTATGCAAAATAGAACTACATTAAATAAAACTACATTTCACATGTCATGAAGAACATGCCATGAACATACCAGCATGATGCAGAGCAGAGCTGTGATGTCCTGAGTATAAATAGTTCCTAGCATTTTATGATCCCCAACTAGATGAACAGCAGGGAAAGCTGCATTTCTAATCTCAGCATATCACTAACATGTGATTTTAATAGACTAGACACTAAAAGTGTGTCAAAATCTAACATTTGTCAGTTTGTAGAGCTCTAATACCCTGCTCCTAGGAGGATCTGAAGGACCTATTGGCAGGTGCTGTATACAGCAGAGCTTAGTCCTTCAGCAAGRGATGGAAATCCCTTTACCTGACTTCAGTGAGCTAAAATGCAGGGCTCCATTCCAGACAGAAACCAACAACCCTTGTTCAGGGTGGATTGCTCCCCAGGTGATGACTTAGGCATGACTACACTAGCTGCAATGAATCTAGTCAAACACAGCACAGCGTTTGACGAAATCCCTTGCTGTTTGTGGCTGCACGTGTTTCATTTAATCATCTACGTCAGCTGAAGTCAGTCTCATAGGCTAATTTTAGAACATGTCTAATTCAAGGACTAGTGGGGGTTGCTGTATTATGGCCCTGGATGTTGTTTTTAGGACTAGACAATGTCATTAACAGCTTCTGTATACATGGTGTTGGTGTATCACCGCCATATCCCATAAGGGAAACCTATAGTGATTCATTGCATCAAAAAATTAATGCCATGTGAAATTACCAGTTTTTCCAGCAAAGCATTTTCAGGTTGTCCACGTATCATCAGTGAATCATGGCTCAGTAGAAATCTGAAGTTCTTCAAGATGTCTGTTGACTTCTTTTTGGCAGCATGAAACTGGAAGCCTTTCAGCCAAAATTGTTAGRTAGGAGCATAGGAAAGAAAAGGCCTTTCAGACAGAAACTCTTATGTAACCTCAAGCACAGCAGGCAGGGCCGTCATGGGAATTACCTCTGTTTTATAAAATAAAGGGTTTTTTTTTTTTTACTTATTAAGATGAAGGCATGAGTTCTTACTTACCAGGCAGCAGTCATAAGCAGGAAAGTCCCGTGGAAGGGAAGCAGATACCCAGCTGTGATGTGCAGCCCTTTCCATTCKGCACTCTGCTGTTTGCACTGTCCTTGAAGCCAAATGATCACTTAATAAAGCAGTAGTGGTTAATACTTTGCTTTGGAGCTTGCTTCTCTACTCCTGCACTGGCAGGGGATGAAGCTTAGTGTGTTTCTTAATATCTTTTTTATTCTGTAACTTCTACAACCTAAAAAGTCATGTTAGATTTTTATCTCCTTTATCTTTTTACAGTGTTACATCCTGAGCTAATGTAACTGTAGTATACACAAAGAAGTTCCATTTTTTTAAGTTTAATAATCTGTATTTAAATGATTTCAGATAGATTTGTTACACTAGGTTTTGAGTTAATAAAAAAAATCTGATTCTTGGTGGTATAAATTGATATGAAACAATTTCATTGTCATAATCACTGCGAATTAACTTAGAATTACAGACCAATGCTAATTCAGGAGTTAAATCCTATGAGTTAGAGAAAATTAAACTGACTTGCACTACAATACCTAACTTCCACTTTTATCCTGTACATAGAGATTAACTAATAATCTTACTAATAGTCTGTTTCTGATTTTGAATTGAAGTAACTCTGTTTATTGGTGGGGACTATTACTAGCTTTCATTAACCTGAGATCAGAAATAAGCTTCCTGTCTGTATTTATTCTCAGTATATTATTTGGCCAGATGTTACATACCAGAAACACATCTCCAGATGCCATGAACAAAATGCACGGAGAAGGGAGACGTTCCAGTGAATCAAGTTCACTGATGAATACGTACAAGTGGTAGAAGCTGTAAGCATGCATCAAGGGCGTAAATTGAGTCCATCACCAAGTGCAGTTGTATATTTAATATTGCAGGAATAAATCCAGATTAGTAAGATTATTGTTGTTTTAATTGATTGAAGTGTCCCAGTATGAAGCCACAAATTGCAGTGATGAGTTTCTGAAAAAGTGTATGGATAGAATTATTGCATATGTGGGACTGCTTGTTGAAGGGCTTGCAAGAGTATAGTAGTTTAAACTATGTAAGAAATAATAATAAAAATAATACAAAATAATACAAAATAATACAAAATAATACAAAATAATAAATGCCCTTTTTCAGAGTCACTTTTCTGTGAAGAAAGGAGCTGCAGCCCTGGGTATTGGTACAGATAGCGTAATTCTGATTAGATGTGATGAAAGGTAAGTAAAGATGCTGAGCACTTCTCAGTTTAATGGTACATAAAAGAGGCTAATCAGGTGCTCAACTCAGAGAAAGCGTGGAGGGTTCAGGGAATAGCTGGTGTAACTCTCCATAGTGCTCGCAGCTTCAGYAGCCGTGCACTGATTTATCCCACTCGAGGAACTGACTCTCTCTGTAGCTTCTTTGCAGATCAGTTATTGGGGCTGATCAGAAATCTTGGAGTTCTCTTCCTGAAGGATTTCTGGTCTTTCTTTCACTTTCTGAAGTGAAGCCAAAGGTTTAACTAGTGATCATTTGTTACACATGTGGTTAGGAAACTAAGAAGAAGCTTGTTTTGGTCAAAATTAAAAAACAATTAAAAAAAAAAAAGTCTCACATTTTAATCCATTAAAATGAGCTGAAATGGACTTTTTGAGCTGCTTAAAATATTTGCTAATGAAGTTTTCTCCCATCATGCAGCCCATTTCTTCTCAGAAACTGATAACCCTGGCTGGACCACATTTTCACCTATACACTTAATCATGATGTGCAACATGAAGTAGAGCACATCCAGGGAAGGGGCTTCACCGCCCTGTGGGCAGTGTAGGCCAGTGAGGGAGATGGCCATCGRAAAAAGAAGCGCTTGAGCCATGTAAACTCCTGTTCCCAATAGCCACCACAAAATTGGTGTTAGATTTCTTTTAATCATTCAGTTCACCCAACTGCTAGAGAAAAACATTTAGAGAAGGCTGAGAAATATTAGCAGGATCAGCATGTTTTGGTGAATATTTTCAATTTGATGGAAAGCACATTTTCTATGGAAAAAATATAGAAACATTCTAATTGAATCTACAGAAAATGTTTTCAACAAAGTATGCTCTTGTTATGAGTCCCAAATATCATTTTTCTAAGGTACTGAATTATTTATGGCTCTAGCTTAAATGGAAAGTTCTAATGCAATCAAAATATTCTGCTCTTACAATAAAAGAGCACCAGCTAAGCAATTTGCAGTACTAATCACAGAGCCTGCATATTGACTTACAGACTTATTATCTCTTTATTAACCAAAGACTGAGCACACCTCGAAAAGGAATTAATGACAACATCTGCGTAACCATCACAAATCAAAATAAACTTTGGATTGTTTCTGTTCGCTAAGGACAGACACAGATCAGTGAAGTCAGGTCTTCTTTTTCTTCTTGTGCAAACTCAGTATAGCCATTTTCTGTGAAGATGACAATGTTTAATTTTTCCATCCAGAAGTAGGACAGTAGGATTGCTGCATGTCTTACAAATCCCAACTCAGGTCAGCAGGACACAGTAGGCTGTTTGCTCAGGACATGTTCTGGGTGTGGGGTGCTGGGCTGATGTGRTGAGGAGGACCTTCTGTTGGCCCATGGCAGAGTGAAGGCCCACAAGAGCTTTCTGATGTGTCCAGCATGAGCAAGCGTGCTGCTTTGTGTCTCCTCTCCATCCTAACACCCGGAGTCGACAGGTTGTGTTGCTCTACTGTGGGACMATGCAAATGAGTGGTTCCTTTCAGCCAGGAAAAAAAGTAAAGTCCCACCTTCTTGCTTATACCAAGTATTGGATGAACATGTGTTTCAGTTACCTGTTCCACTACCACACAGATACATTAATAGTAATAGAGTACGTCCTGCAGTTTTGGGGGGAGTTCAAGACATTTCACCCTCATTTGGCAGCACGGAGGGCTGTAGATGTTTATGGGTCATATGAGAAGAATCTGACCCCRGGGCTTCCTTTGTCCTCAGTGCCCCTCTGCTGCTGAGTATCTTCAGCCTCCTCCTGCTCCCCCATAGCCCTCCTGCCTCTGGTGCTCCATAGCACATCTCCTTTCTGTTAAGCAAAGAACTAACAGCACAAACTGGTTGCAAAATTAGACTTCTGATACAACTCTATTTTGCTCCAGAGGGAAAATGATCCCATCAGACCTTGAAAGAAGAATCCTTGAAGCCAAACAAAAAGTAAGTGCACTAGCATTTCTGCTTCCAAGAAACAAAAAGCAAATACAGCCAGATCTTTTACTTTCTATGACACAAAAGCTTAGGCTTTCGCATGAACTTTYGATTTGTTTCTTAGCCAAATAATTAGTAAGGCAAGAGTTCCTGAAAAATATGTTTGAAAACAGTCTATTTGTCTCTTTTTATATGTTGTTGTGCCTAACATTCTCTTTAAACTTTTTTTTCTGTTTTTTTTTTTAATATATATTATCAACCTGTGAGGATATGCTTCAGCTGAATATTGGCAAAAGCTGAGTGATCATTTGGAGAATCCATGTATGTTCTCATACATTGAATATATTCCTTACCTATGCCTCATGCAACATTTGTACAAAAAATCATTGGAAACACAGAGTTCAAAGCTGTTGTAACACCAATCTTCATTAAGAGCTCACTCTGTCCAAGAAGAGTCATGTGGTAGAAAGAGTAAGATAAAATGACAATAGAAGTTCCACCCAAACCTACCAACCATTTATTTCGTTTAGCAGAAGGAAAATGAGACCTTTTTTGTAGTCTAAGTCTCAGTCCTTCACAAAATGTACAACCTCTTTACCTCATTGCCAAGTACAGTTTATGAATAACAGAATACAGATGAATTTAAGATGAAATACTGGTAGAAATTACTGCAGTGCTCCAGTGCTTTTCACACAAAAGCTGTGTGAAAGACAATGTGTCCTCCTCTGTGCTGCTCATCATTTAGCAGAGGGAGACCAAGAGATGGTCCCACCACCTCATGTTCCTGCTCCTTCACACAGTCCATGGGCCCATTATACCAGCCCAGAGTGCCAACCACCAGAGAGGTTTCATGAACCACCACGTCTTATGGAAAAGGTTTGTTTTACTTGGCTCCATACAAAGCAGACCTTTTTTTCTCAGGCAAGTGATATGGGGAGGAATTGTCCTCCTTAGACCTTAGCTATCTCAGCTGCCTTTGCTACAACAACTGGAGGAGACTGGTTTGGAAGTTTGCTGCCACCTTAAGGCAGAAACTGTAATATTGCTAGCTCTAAACTAGGAGAAACAGTGTTGTAGGTATGTCCTCTAGGAGACAGTTGTGGGCGTCTTGTGCAGACATCTCTTGCCACAGTGGAGGTTTCAGGTGCCAAGTGGTCAGTGGCAGCTGGGTCTGGATATCACATACTGGGGCCAACACCTCCCTGCTCTCTTGCAGGGCTTTGTCCCATTCCTGGTGAGCGCCACAGCAGGAACAACAGTGTATGGGGCATTTGATCCACTCATAGCTATTGCAGACATCTGCAAGAAATACAAAATCTGGATGCACGTGGATGTAAGTACCATCTCTTGTGTGCCGGGATTACTAGGCTCATCAGCATGAATTTAGTCATCTTGGGTGGTGTCTTCTTGTACAGATAACTCTGCTTGGTTCCTGTAATTAATTCTTGAAGTGTAAGAGCTGATTTCCTTTCTTCTGAAAAGCTCAGGTACCAGGAGGACATCATAGGAGCTGTAACTGTGCAGTGCTTTTAGCAACTGGGACACTTCAGATCACCCAGTTGGCATGCTTTTTGCCTTCACCTTAGAGGTACTAATTACAGTCTGAGGTCACCCAAAGTGTCACTGTAGATAAGGTGGTGAGGGAGGTATTAACAGCAGTAGGAACTGGCACACAGGTCCTGGCATATAAAATACTGCTTGAAAGCAGTACTGGAAAGAAACTGATAGTTCAGCTAATGCCCCAGGCCCCATCTGCCCCACACTGACYGGTACTCGCTGATGTTATCATGGGGAAATGCAGAGACCTCTCCTCCTCATTCAGATAATGTGTCTTGCTTTCTAGGGAGCGTGGGGTGGCGGGCTGCTGATGTCCAGAAAGCACAAATGGAAGTTAAATGGTGTTGAAAGGTATGATTTATTAACAAGTTATTAGGTGTTTTAACACATTTTTGATTGCCATAGCAATGCCTATAAATGCAAATAAAAATCAGTCAATATTAGGCCTGAGATAAAATATGAAAAAATCATGTAAACTTGTCCTTCTGGTTGGAGTAACAGTGCTGAGTGTTCATTGTGRTACTGCCTTTTTTTTTTTCTTGTAGGACAAACAGTGAATATTTCATATTTGTCTTCTTATTTCTTGCAATGTGCATTCTCAGATCGAGCATGGTTTCTGTGTCACCCTCTGGATTCACTGCCTGCAATGAATTAGCAATTGCATTTCTTTAAGAAATGAATCTTGGAGATCTTGCATGCTGAAGTCTAAATGTGAAAGGTGGCTGCACCTGCCATTTGGCCAGAGGTTATGTCAGTCTCTGAGCACTGCTCTGTCACTCATGGAAAGGATACTAGTGAGGTTTTCTCCGTAGATCTGCACCTGGGTGCACACAGYGGTGGTCATGAGCTCATGAACATTACAAATACACACACATGACCATAAATGATAGCAATCCTTGAAAGATATTTCAATGACTTGAAAGACGGAGCTTAAAATTACAAACAGCTGTTTATTCAGAAACATATAGCTCAACTGTGGAACTCCTTGCCAAAGGATGTTAAGACTTGTGTTTATGGGGAGACTAGATAAGTACATAGACAAATAAAACCCATTCAGGAAGTTCATAAGCCACAAATGACTGGAACCCCTCAGAGCATTTGGGGAAGTACTTAGGGTGCTTGTCTTGCTTTGTGTTATTCCCAGGCCTCTTACTGGGAACAGTATGCTGGACTAGATTCAGCCAGCTACTTGTGTGTATTTTTGAAGYTCATTCTGTTTAAGATTAAACTATTACTCTCCTCTGCCTTTTTTATCTCCTAATAGAATTGCTGCTCCTTGCCAATTAAAATTGCAAACAACTTCCTAATCCTGTTCCTAAGTATTAGGAAGATACCTTGATGGCTCCATTCCTTTCTTATACATCTCACATTTGCACACTTTGGAGAGCAGCCAATGGTTCTATAAATTTGATATATTTTAGCTAAGGCTGCCTTGARCACTGCAAACTTATATATTGTGCTTAAAAAGGATATACATCCAAATATGCGACATGTTAGAAAAATCCGCGCAGCAATCTGTGAGGACAGAGCACAAACCAGAGTTTGACCCCCTAGATTGTCMAAATTCTGCTAGAATGAGGTATTCAGGTTGAACCTATATTAAAGATGTTTCTTAATGCTACACTTCAGATCAGAACTCCACTGGAAATTCCTCCAGTATTTTGGTAAGTGCCACCTCCACATGGTAGGCAATGTATTAATGGAATTTGTCATTTCCAGTCCTGTTCCCCTGCTCGATGGACACAGCAGCTCATTTCAGTTTGTCTAGTTATCAAATGTGGGTACCTTTAGAGGAGATGTACTGGATCTCAGGCTGCTTTTATAATGGTTCAGGGCCAAATTCTGCCAGTCTTAATACTTCCCAGTTATCCACTAGGAAACACCAAAGGAAAACGTTTCCTCTTTCTTTCTTGTGAAAGATCCCCAGTCACAAAATCACATAGGAGTTTGGTATCAGTTATTTAAACAAATATAAGATAAAAATCATCTTGTATTGCCTTTTCCCCTGTTATTTTCAGTCAGCYTTTTGTTTAAGCACATACCAATGGCAGAAGCCCAGAGTAACTGATAGCAAATGAAAAATGGTGGATTCTTTATKTTATGTAAGTAATTTTGTTGTGTGTGCAATTGGCATGAATATGAGGAAATGGATGACCTTAGGGTAAATTAAATTTTGTAGGCAGATAATTAACATCTGGGTATTGTCAGTAAATAGTCCTTTTGCTTGAGAAAATCCATACCACCACTGTTACCTAGAAGGCTCTTAAAGAATTTCTGCTTGATTCTGTGTAGGCACAGATAAAAATGAAAAAGTATCGTATCAAAGGAAATCCGTAGACCTCAGTGCATGTTCAGAATCATTAGCTCTGGCACAGTAATCAGATGACTGACTGAGCTGATTAAAAGCTGCCAAATACTTGAAAAKCCCAGCCAAGTGGCCAGATGTTCCCTGTAAAGACTGTTCCCTTCAGATTTTTCATCAGGCCTCTGCACAGCTCCCTTTAAATAGCAAAGAAGAAAGTGCTGCATAGTGTCCATGAGCATTTTGGAGTCGCTTGCTTTGAAGGAGTAAAAAGCAGCCTTGTAGGAAATGACAGSAGGATGCATACACCCATAGCTTTGCCTCCAAATCCTATGATGGAAAATATTGCCAGATTCGAACCTCTGTTCACAGTCTTGCTGTCTGCAGGTGCGTCCTGGGTCCTTAAAGCAGCTACATGCCCCAGTCTGCTTCTTTATGCCAATATATAGTCTCAAAACTCCAGTCACTGGACTAAATGAAATCRTGCACTATGCATCCTTGACAGCCTGCCAAATGGGATGCTAATGTATACATCCACTGGCTAATCAGCATATGTAATAATAGTAATTTACAAATAACCAGTCGAGCAGAACACAGCATTAGAACAATAAAGAACTGGACAGTTCTCCATTCAGCACTTGCCATAGTCCCAAAGTCTCTTCCCTAGTCTTTATTGTGCCTGTTCATTCTCAGCATCTGGCTGACAGTGAGTTTTGCAGTGTGTCTTGAAGATCAGCAAGCTCTACTGTCATGTAGAGATGCGTAGTGCTATGTTTATTACAATAGTAATTTGGGATCCAATCCTCTGGTTGTGTGAATTATCATAGCCCAATTAAAGTCAAAAGATACATGGCAGTTTACCATCAACACAGCAATGAGAAAAATTACTTTTGGATAAGTTTTCCAGATTACTCAGAGACTCACAGCTGCCCAGAAGGATTTAAAGGAGTTTTCAGAAATGCCTGTGTTACTTAAATCATACTACAACAGGAATCAAAGGGGGAGGAATTTGCTAATTTGCCTATTTCTTATCTCCATCTTTAGGAGCCACGTTCCTTGGGAAAGTTCTCAGTCAAGTGTGTGGTTTTGCGAAGCTTGTCCTTTATTTATGAAGTAGAGATGACTCTCCAGAAAGTTTGATACTGATTAAGCCTAGCAGAGAGAGCAGTTATCCCATGGTAAATTACCAGGATTGTCATCCAAAAAGCAACTAGAGCAAATTAGGTCCCTCATGAAGGCATTGCTTTCTTAATAACACTCATGATTATTTTCAGCCTTGCTTGCTCAGAAAAAAAAAAAAAAAAAAGGTGCCCTTTGCTACGTTTTTATTACAAAATGTCTCCATGGTTTCACCCCTTGTGTAGTGTCTCAGTTGATTGTGGTTTACTGTCACAGGGCCAATTCGGTGACCTGGAACCCACACAAGATGATGGGTGTCCCTCTGCAGTGTTCAGCCCTGCTGGTTAGAGAAGAGGTATGTCTCCATCTACTTCTTTCCTTGATTCTTTTTGAAATTTTATTTCTGAAAATCCTGCATGTTTCCTCATAACTGTGTCATAGCTAATATTTGATAATGTGATGAAGATCATAAAAGAAACTGAGAAAGAAACCTCTAGTTATTTGTTCAGGCTGTGAGTGCAAAAGGGAATTAAAATGGCTGTCTGCTTGATTTGATAGGTCGATAAATGGGAATAGCTTTACAGAGTTTTGTGGCTTTGCTTTCAAAATAGCCTAAATTAATTTTGGGAAGAACAGCTGTGTAACATCTCTAGTTTTTGTGTAGTATAGATTGTAACTGAAAGCAAAATCTAGTCCTCTTACAATGTTGTGCTATAAATGCAACATGACATTTGGTTGAGCATCTAAGCATCATTGCACTTTCCAAACCTTTATGAGAGAGATTTCAATCCAGCTCTGATTCATATATTCACTTTGGGGAGCATAGAAATAAAAAGGGAACACTAAGTTCACTTGGAATAAAAAGTGCACATTTCCTTTAGTACTAGGACTTGAATTACCCTTCAAGCCTGTAATTTTCATATAACCATCGGTTACTGGGACAGCTGCTATATAACCAGCAGTTATTAGCCCAGCTATCCAAAAGTTGGTTGTTGTTTTGCTAACAGCTGTACAACAGATTGTAGACAAAGTGATTGTGCTTAGGAAGCACAAAGAAGCTGGCTCTTATTTGCCCCTGGGTCAGTTCCCTGAGACAAATCCTACCTGGGAGAAGTCAGTACCATCCTAGAGCTCCAGCGAGAACAGATGGCTCAGATTACGAGAAAGACACTTTTTCCCTTTCATTTTTTTTTCTTAGTTTTGAGATACAGAGGTTAGATTTGATGATAAACAGCCAAGTTCTGATTCTTCTTGGACTGCAAAATGCAGTTTTAAGCAAGAGCCGTAAGGTATATTTTAAAGCTGGCTGAGGACTTCACCAGAGCCAAAACATGACTGTCTGCATTTCACTTAAAAAACTAAAAAGGAAACTTCATGCTTTCCATGAGACAGATYTGCTCACATTGCTGGCTTTTGATCCTCCCTAAAAGCTGCCTCTGAAAACAGTATCTTTCTATCCAGAAGTAGCTGTATGTGGCTGCTTAGAGGCCACAGGCTCTTTTGCCTGTGCAGAACTTTCTGCACCACTTAAACAAGTGCTCTGCAGCACAGGACTTTGCAGAGGATCTTAGAACAGAAAGATGCCTACAAAGAAGAGGGAGAAAAAAAAAAGCAGAGATAAAAGCAGGCAGGGAAATGGCGTGATGTTCTTTAGATTAGTCACCAAATTACCTTGGCCTGACTCAACCTGAATTATGCCTTCCAAGGAAAGGAGAAATGGAAACCAGAACAAGGAATAAAGARATAGATCCCAAAATGAATGTATGTGTAATCACACTCACAACTACAATATCCGTAAGTTGTTTAAAAATGCTTTGGCTCCCAGACAGGCCGGCACTTTGCTGGGTCAGGTACCAAAGTGTTCTGGATGCTAGATGGAAAGCAAAAGACTGAACCTACTAAACAGCTAAGTCTGGTTTTGTCTTTTTTCAGATCTTTGTCTTGCAGTTAGATGCTTCAGTTGGACACTGTATTTGCACGTTTGGAGTTTCTGCTGTATAGACCTAAAGCAACCAGTAGTCACATCTGTGCCCACGCTATGTTTTTGTTCCTCTCTTTCTTTAAGGGGCTGATGCAGAGCTGCAATCAAATGCATGCTTCCTACCTCTTTCAACAAGACAAGCACTATGACCTGTCTTACGACACTGGAGACAAGGCCTTGCAATGTGGCCGACATGTTGATGTCTTCAAACTATGGCTCATGTGGAGGGCAAAGGTAGGACTGCCTGAAATGTATCTGTATGCATTAAAATAATGCACACCAGATACAGGTTTCTTTAATAATTATTTTAGATACTATCTGACCTGAATTTCTCATATATAAAATGAAGAAGAAAGCATTACTATTTTCTCTCTTTTATATACCTTTAACAATTCAGGTTCAAAGCGCCACAGATGATTTTGAAAATTGAACTCCATGCCTTTGTGTAGCGTTTGCTTTGTCTGACTTCAGGAGTCCAACACCATGTATCCTCTGTGTAAGAATGTTGTTAGGAACATTTTTGGATATACAAAGATGTTTTATTTTAATGACATTCAGAAATTAAACATGGCAATTCCAAGACTAGAATCCTAGTTCCATTGCATGCAGTAAATGTGGAGTGAGCCTTCAGTAGAGCAGAGGAAAACTCATCAAAATATGTCCTCTGAGAAAATGAGCTGTAATCATCAGTTTGCTCGTAATTGTAGAATGTTGCAAAATAAATTCTACCATGCATTTATTCAATCCGTTATGTCAGGTTGCCTCAGGTTTGTTCAGAGATGACATCGATGTTTTCATTTCCAGMAAGCCTTAAAGAGCCTCACGTGCTTCATTAAAACTCTGAAAACAGTTCTGCGGCAGACAACAAATATAGCTGGAGGAGTGGGAGCCTGCGAAGGAGGCCTTGTGGGCGGCCCCCTTCTGTGGCTGACGTGGCTGTGGGACGGGCTGGCCTCGCTGCAGTGGCGAGTGGTCTCAGAAAGCCGTGGGGCCTTCTCTGGGGCTGCACTATCTCCCCCCATGCCAGAAGCTTAGCCGTGGGGCCTTCTCTGGGGCTGCACTATCTCCCCCCATGCCAGAAGCTTTGTCCCCAGAGGGACAGTGGCCTGGGCTCGGAGTCAGTTCTGCAGCACCAGATCAGGTTTATCCGGACACACACCCATTATTCAAAGACATTTCTTCCCATAGAGCACATACTTCCTTGTGCTGTTTTATTGTGTCCTCGTGTCCATGTGTGACATTTGCGTTACCAAGTAGGACGCACGTTGCTCAAGCAGTTTATCTCTCCCAGATGTCCACCTCCTTCTCCCCTGCCCCGTGCTGTGATCCATGGCTTGTGGCCTCACAGCTGGGGACTGCAGGAKCCTCACAACCAGAGGACAGTGGCTCCTGCCAGGAAGAAGGAGTGGGAATTGCTGTTAGGAAAGAGAAGATGCGAATGTGGTGGAGATGGAGCAGTACCTGAACAGACTGTTCAACTACTACAGGCCTCAAGCTGGTCTCTGAAAACATCTGGCCATTTTGTATTTTATTTCAATGAAAATAAATGCCTAGATAAAGGTACCAGCTCGTCCCTTCTGGAAGATTACAATCCCCTGTCCTGGCAGAAATACAAGGCTTCCCGTGTATGGAGCTCAATACCTTTTCCTAGAGGCCCTGGTCCTTGTTAGCCCAGGCTGCCTCTGCACAGAAACCACCACCAAGAGCGCCCTTCATCAGAGGTGCTGCAAATACTTTGCTCAGCACTGAGCTGGATCTAGTGCTTGTTTTGCAGAGGTGATTGCAGGGCAGTCAGTGGCACAAGCGAGAGATGGATGAGCTCTGCATTRGAAAGTGTCCTTCATCTGACAGAACCAGATCCTTAATCTCTCCAAAGAGACTCCTGAGAAGTGAATTGTACTGCTGATTTGACAAGTGCTGCATGTTCCTGTCACTGTGTCAGTTCACAGGACAGATAATCACAAAACTTTAATTTTTTCTTTTCTCTCTCTCTCTCTCTCTCTCTCTCTCTCTCTTTTCAAAGGGAACCACGGGATTTGAAGCACAAATTGACAAGTGCTTGGAACTTGCAGAGTACCTCTATAATAAAATAAAGAACAGAGAAGGTTATGAAATGGTGTTTGATGGAAAGGTATGTACTGCAACCTAGTATCCCTGTTGGTCACCAGCACATGCTTTAGTCAAGTAGTGGGTTGTTACTAACAGGTCAAACCAAAAAATGTGTGACAAAAAGCAGTGTCCCTTATAAGAGCAGTTGTTCAGCCTTCTTTATGGGCTCCCAGGGCAAGAGAGATGAAGCAACTGAGCACAGCGTTTCCGTCCATACAGTCTCACCCCATGAGAGCTCAGCCCTGGTCTCTCAGCCTAGAGCAGCATTCACACAGTGACAACGAGCCTCTTGGTAATGGCAAGAGGCTGTGAGGACCTGGGTCCCCCTGCTCACAGCCAGAGCATCAGATCTGCTTTGCAGATCTGTGGGTGGAGGAGCCTGCCCTGCTCCCCGCTGCYGTGCCACGTGCATGGGCTGGCCGGAGTGCCAGAGGCGACCGCTCTAGATGTCTCARGTGTGTCATTTCCACAAGGGCAGGGGCAGCAGCTCCACCTGCGATGGTCCCCCCAGGGCGAGGTGTCTGGCAGGGTCAGGCTACAGCCTGCGCTGTTGGTGCCCCTGGCTCTGCGGCTCTGTCCTGCACTTGGCTGCAGCACTCCTGTGCATGTGGCCTGGCACAGGCACCTCTGTCACATAGGTGTTTTCCTTGTAAGGGTGAAAAACCATCTTTTTCTGGCTTTTTTCCTCTGACCTGTGGCTTTTTCTGCTCTCCATACTTGCATATTGTCCCTTGGTATAGTTAAGTGAAGTGCTGGCTCTGCAGTGCAGGGATATGTGTCCCCACGCTTCTTGATAGATCCCACATGCACATGCCACTGTGTTATCTAATCATGCACCATCACTGAATTTGATCTGCTAGGTCTTGTGATGATTGAGGGGATCGACAGCAGGGAGAGTTTGCATTTAGCAGCCAGCAAAGAGGAATGTAGCAAGGCAAGCAACTGCTGGGAGACAGCAAAAAAATGCATGAGTGTCAGTGGAGTCTTCTTGGTGCCTTTCTACCTGGTGTTTCCATGTCAGCTAGGTGCACCAACATGCTAAATACATGCATATTATTACAGGAGCTAACTGCACCAAACTGAGAAGCAGTGAATTTCTCAAGTGTAAGAAAAGCTTAGGCCATCTGTGAGGCCTGTTACAAGACCAGATTCTTCATTATGCAGTCATGTAATAAAAGTAATTGACATGGTCCTCACATCTGAATTATCTCTAATGGACTGTTGTCTTGCCCACATGTTCCTTTCAGCCTCTTGAGGGGACAGCACCTACAAAGTCTAGATGCTTCCCAGTTGGGGATAAATATATTTGCACAGCTGGGCAATGTGTTTCTGCATCTGACATCCTGGGAATAAATTGCCTAAAATTATCCTTTCTGCATTAATAATGATGATGACTCTCAGCGGACTATAATAATGAAAGCCATTGATTGCTGTCACAATATGATGTACGAGAGAAGGGAAAAGCATGAGCATAATTGCAATTGAGATATTATGAGCATTTCTTACAGGCTGAACCATTATTATTCTGTGTTTAGCCTCAGCACACAAATGTCTGCTTCTGGTATATACCTCCCAGTTTACGCGGAATGGAAGATAACGAAGAGAGGATGAGCCGCCTTACAAAGGTAAGCAACGATATCCAGGATATCGTGTGATGAGCCCTGACATCCTGACAGGCACCAATCCCTCCACTGATCTCCAGGGAGGCACAGGGCAAGGCCACCCATCTGTATTCTTCAAGTGACACTTCCATGGACATTACACTAAGGGTGAGCCTGGCACCACCTTGCTGTGCTCTCCCAGTTTGTATTCCGTGTATCTGCCTCTCTGCTGAAGCACTTACTTATTTGAGCTCTGGCTGTTTTCCCTGCAGCTCATGTAAACTGCAGTCCGCAAACTGGGCAAACATAACAATAGCTTGATCATAGAATGCCGCTCTAGCATGTAAAAAAAAAGATGGAAAATGATGGCAGAATATGTTTGAGGGATACAAAGAGAAAGCAGTTACTGTGTGCCAATTGTATGTCAGCAATCTTGAGAAAGTAGGGGGGAAAAATCCCCAGTGATTTTAAGAACAGCACAAAGAAAAGGATAAAGCCAATATCTTTTCAAAAAGACATATATTCCTTAACAGAGGTTATTATTTTTTGTCAATAATTTTTTTGTCAATTCTTTTCATTTTAACTGCTTCTTGCAGCTCTTCATAGAAAAACAGAACGTGCTCCACTTTTTGTTGTGATAATAATAATAATCACCTGCCTTTTGCTGTAATGGTAATGACCTCCTGCTTTTTGTTGTGCAAAAAGGTGGCCCCAGTGATAAAAGCCAGGATGATGGAGTATGGAACAACCATGGTGAGCTATCAGCCTCTGGGAGACAAAGTGAACTTCTTCCGGATGGTCATCTCAAACCCAGCAGCAACTCATCAAGACATTGATTTCCTGATTGATGAAATTGAACGTCTGGGRCAAGATTTATAATAATGGAGCGTAAAAGGCTGTTCCTGGACCTCTAAGTAGACAATTAAGTTGTCACAAACTGTGCGAATGTATTTGTGGTTTGTTCCAAAGTAAATCTATTTCTATATTGTGGCGTTGGAGTTGAGTGCAGTTTAAAATCAAGAAACATGGCTCCTTTAAAGTCCTTTCCTGAGTTTTAGAATACCTCTTTAATAATTAGCTACTCAAAAAGCTGCATTGAAATATATAAGGAAGAGCAGAAAATATGTACAATTTTTCTCCCCAGTTTTAACACAGTGACTGTTTTAAATTAAAAGTAATCAGACAGAATGATGCCAAATTTGCCCAAAATGGTGACAAAATCAAATTGGGGGAAGGAAGATAGTGAGGAACAAAGTATACAAGCTGTATGCTTATAAGTGAAAGTATTTTGTCTTTTTCGTAGTATTAGAACAGAATTTCTAATTTACCTATAGCAACATTTCAAATATATTTAAATAGGTATAGTTTTACAAAAGGAAATATATATATATATATAAAATCCTATTTTGTAAACTAAAGATTTTATTTTATATGGGTTATGAAACTGCAAGGACAGAAGCTGAAAATTAACTAGGATTCTTTTTATTTTGATGGAGGTGCCTCGAACGTTTATTCACTGCTTATTTTAAAACACAAGCCCACATATATTTTTAAGAGGTACCAGTGCCTCATTCCTCCATGTCACATGGATTGTACATCTCCAGGGTTGATTACTGAAAACCTCAAGAGTACTGCAGCTCTTAAAACCACTTAATAAGATCAATTACAGTGCAACAATAGGATGCTATTATTCCTAATTATGTTTCCCACATGGCCTAACTGAGCAGACGCACAATCAATATACAGTTTCTTTGCTCTGTGTTAAAAAAGCCTATCTAAAAAAGTCACATATGTGACTACCTGCTTGTGTCATAACCATTTCTTTTGCAAGCAATATCAAATTACATTGAAAATTAAATTTGACTGAAATTCTGTTTAAAAAAATACCATAAAATTCCACAGCTACATTATCAAGGTAGGGACTTTGATAAATGTACCAGTCTGCAAGACATGATCTAAATTAAATGCAAGTACACTCTGAATGGCAGTAATGGAGTCAGAGTGCCAAACAGATTTGACAAAGGTTTCTCCCARTACTGGGCTTCAGCATTGTTTTCAAGGGATTTTGAAATTGCTGGAAAAAAATGAGATAAGGCTAGATCTGGCTAATACAGCCCATGCAGAGCCACACAAGCATTTTTAGAGACCATGGCAGAGGTTTAGAAACCTCTTGCAGAGCTTGCTTACTTGCTGCATCATTCCTTAGCATTAGGAATGACACTGGCATGGAAACTTATATGTACCCTTTTTCCCTTCAATATCTGGAAATGTTGGTAAGAACTTTGTGGCTTGGGCCTGTCTACTTATAACCCTACTAAAGTTCTGGTTTTAACTTTGCCTAAGTGGCCAACTTTTGTTTGTAAAGCAATATTGTTTTGCTGTCTCAAAGATACTTGAAGAGAAGAAAAAAAGTGCAATGTGGTTTTAATTTCATCTAAAACAGAAAAATGGAGTATTGGTTCAATGTAATATGAGGACATGAAGTAAGAAGAGGAAATAAATTGTGTCTGTAATTGTGTTGCCTTTATTATATTGATAGTACTGTTTTGTCACCTCAGATTGAGGCTGTGCACTTTAGATTTAAACTGTACAATGTTGCAAATCAACATGTGTTGCTGCATAAGCTTGTACAATATATTATTGATATGTCATTATTTGTGTGGTACTAATATTTRCTCTTGATATTGTAAGAACTGCACTCACATCAGTCCTTCTACTCTATCTTTGCTTGATATAAGCCTTTCCTTGTCAGCTTTTAGGCAGACCTCTTGCCTCACTCCAGTGGATTTCCATTGCTATCTACAGTGCATAATGTTACACGTCAAGCTATAGAAGAGATGCAGAGATGCCAATTCTATCAAGGACGCAATGTGACCTTTGCTGAATCTGTCAAAATCAGCTGACCAATCACCGAAATACTGGGTAGAGCAGCAAATTGCTGCATTCGTCTTTCTTACTGTGAAAAACAAGGCAAGGAAAGAGCTTAAAAAGTAAAAATAGTAAAGGGACAATGGTGAAAGTAATCAGTAGCCTGGTTACATCTTGCATGTGCAATTCTGTTTTTAAAATGCTAAGTGCAAATAATGTATTTATTAGCTGTATGTGCCAATCCAAGATTTACATTCAGTGTTCAGTAAGAACCAGCATTTTTTTCCACGTTACTGTTTATTGCAGCCAGCAAAGAGCAGCAGAGCAACCTGTTCTTGTGTTTGACCAAAGTATCTTATCTGTGTTGTTGACCTAAATCCAAATAAAAGTGTAAAATGTGACTGAAAGTCTTTTCTTTAGCAGCACTGAGGACACCAGCCTTACCAATTATGCCATCTCAGTGTAAGGTCCCACAGAAGAGAATGTTTAATTCTAACTTTCTCTGGATTTTTTGATGACTAGATTCCTGCTGTGTGTTAGTTTTTATAGCAATTAAAAAAAAAAAAAAAAAAAAAAAGAGATTGAAATACATCATCCAATCCTGAGACATTACACAGTACTGGCATGCTAGTAAAAATTGCCATCTGCTATTCCTCTACTTCATCTTTACAAGGTGGAGCTGGTTACTTTATTCTCCTCAGACATATGCAACTTTATTAGTTTTTTTTTGTTGTTGTTCTTTTTACTTTGTGAGCCCTTATCCACAAATTAGTCGTAGACTGTAATCAGCCTACAACACAGCAGTGGAAGCAGTGAGGACACTTTCCAGACTATGTGAAGGCAAAAGTTTAAACAGGCCACAAGATAAAACAGGCAAAACAGCTGATATAAAAATTAAAACTTTAATCTTCATGTTCCTCCTGGCACCAGGCCTCAGTCCTCCAAAACCTGCCACCTGCCTGCTCTATTTTCCTTCCATTCACACAGCCTGATGCCAGGTAGAGAGAGAAAGCAAAACAGTGTTGTGAAAACTGCCTGAAATGAGGTTTTGTGTCTCATGTCCAAAGTCTGCAGCAAAATTTGAGCTGGGTGCCTGGTCCAAGCACCCTGCTGTGGCGCTGGGTGAACTGGCACCCAGGCTGTGCCCTGCAGCAGGGCCTCCACAGCGGCCTCCTCTTCTCTCCTTTGGGCCCAGTCAGTCCACCGTTTCATGGCTTCTTCCTTTCCCAAAGCATGTATATACCTGTGCAGCTGAGCAATCTTCATAGTATGGTTGGGTTCTTTTTGTTTTGTTTTATTTTAGATAATTAATGTTTCATTTTAGATAATTTTATTTAGATAATTAATGTTTCTTTAATATTTCACTATAGCAACACAGGGTTCTCCTCAGTCTGAGAAGGATCTGTTCTTCATTTCAGCATAAGGATTTCGTGGTCCAAGATAGTTCTAGGAAAATCACAGTGTCACCAACTGGCAGAACGGTTCACTTAGAGCACATTGCACAGGATTGTGTCCAGCCAGGTTGTGAAAACCTCCATGACATCTCTAAGGAACCTACTCCAGTGCTCTCGCACCCTCATAGTCCAGAAGTTTTTCCTCAGTTTCAGACAGAGCTTTCTGTGTCTGAAACCTCTTGTCCTATGTCTGGCCACCACTGGCCATGCGAGGTGTTAATATACACCATGCTGGTGCTGGTTTGCTGTGAAAGGAGGAAGGGTGACAAGAAAGAGCCTTGCAGAGCTCGGAGAAGCCCTCAAAACCTGCCCAGACACATCCCAAATGGCTCACCTCCAGCACACCATCGTCTACTGGATGCATCTAGTGCTTTTGATAGTGTATTTTGTAGTTCAGCTCTTAATTCTGGGATTAATAAAATATGGTTAACTTCAACAAATAAATCCCAGAAATAAAACCAGGTAACCAGGTTCTGTGAAGCCAAATGAGCAAACCCCAAGGTGCCTCCGATGGCCAAATGCAGTTTTGAAGTAGTGGGCATGTATTAGGAGTGGCCACCAACTTTGGAGTTTTACTCTGTGGTAGAGACTGTCACCCAGAAAGACACTTTACCAGTTACTGTCTTTAATGTGCTCTTCTCCTAGACTTACAATGTCTGAACTATCAGCTTTCTACCTGTCTAGCCTGACTAAAGGGACCAATTCAGACGTTAACAGAAAGCCAAGTGCTGTAGCTGGAAGAAATACAGCCCTGGCTTGTCCATTCACAAAGAAGACAGAATAGCTGTAGGTCACAGCACTCTTCCTTACGGTGCCGAAGGATTCAGTGGTACTGATTTTACACTCTACAGCAAGGCAAGAAATCAGGTCTGAGATATGAGTCAGAGTAAAAGGAATATGTACCTATTTTTGTGTTAAAATAAATGCCCACATGTACTGTTGCTGAATTTTTTACGCTACAATACACATTAGAGGTGGAACTTCAGTTCCATAAATGCACACTGCATGAATAGAGCAAAGGTTATTGCCTCAGGACACAGACAAGACACCAGTTAGGATATGGAGTAAACTTAAAGTTCTCCTGCTACTCTGCAACTGCTGTCTGTGTCCCTATCCTTACTCCAAAGTGCAAATTATGCCTGATGCCAAGGCTTTAAAAGGCTTTCAGATACCTAATCTTCATTATAGGGACTCAGAAGCCTTAACCCCAGTACAGTGTTATGTTTACTAGGCTCTGTCTATCCCTCTCAGTGTGTGACCCATAAACCCACAAGGCTTGTTTCTCACCGGTGACTGATGACTGGGGAAAAAAATCCAAAAAAATCTTTGCAGTATATGAAATTTCTAAAAAAGTCCTCAGTTTCCATTGAAATATTTTAGGGGCTTGCAATTTAGAAGAGCTTGTGAACCACACAACTAAGCAACATTTCTTTAAAAAACATTTTCTTCTTTTTTTTTTTTTTTTTTTTTTTTTGCATTACAAGGAACAGTGCCAAGTGTAGTATCAGCATCTGACATGGACTGGGTAATATGGTAATGCAAGATTTAAAATCCATAAGTACTCTGCACAACCCTTGCTGAAAACTCTGATTTCAGTTTCAACAGAAACTGCATATAAGGGGAATATTAGAATCATTATACATAATTTGATTAATTGCTTTAGATATTGTAATTTAATACTACTCTGTAAGCTTTCATCTTCTCACATTTTGTGTTACCTATATGACCAAGTTCTAGCTTCCTGCCCACCCTCTGTCCTGATAATAAAAGTGGTTCTGAAAGAAAGAACGGATGTTTGGGACTCGGGAAAACCAGCTTTTGCCACTTTGGGAAACTAAAACAAAATGGCTATGTTACAGCAAATAGCATCAGACTGCACCTTTTAAAGACAGTCTATGAGGAGTGATGAGGCATGCGGGGATTGCTACGATCAGTGACTGGTAGCACTCTGGTGAACGGTCACACTGGTGAACGGTCCTGTGCAGAGTGGGAATGCTCACCATGGGAGTCTGCTCCACAGCTGTCTTTGTCAAACAGCATATTCTGGTAAAGCTAATCCAGTTAATTTTCCCATTCAGACAACCCATTAYTATTTTTATTACATTGGCACCCAACTAAAGCCAGAACCTCATGGTGCTAAATGCTATAGTATTGTCAGAGGCAGCTGTTATTACAACGAGTTTTGGATCTGAAAAGATGTCAGAGACTGATCAGAATAGGTCATGGAAATTAGATATGAAATTTTAYGACCATCATCCGCTTGGATTGATATTTCAATGATCATGACATTTGGATACAGGATATTCAGACCTGCTCTGTTTCCTTTCACCAGTGCCCAGACCCATAACTTCCATCTGTGTGTTTGCTAAATCTTCCTGGCTGCAGGAAGGAAACCTGGACAAGGAAACCTGGACAAGGAAACTGGGACAATGTTTTCTGCACAGTGTCTTGGAAGAGGATTCTTGGAGACCAGGCCAAGCAAGGCTGTCCTTCCTGAAAGACATGGAATATTGAACCATGAACCCTGTAGCAAACATTGAGGTCCAACCTGGAAACAGAAAAGAACTATATCAGTTATGAATCTATTGCAGCTAATCTATTTCCACATACCTGACCCATGCCTCATTCTAAGGCTCTGGCTTTTGCACCTACAGATTGGGAACAGCTGTTCCAGACAAGCTTGTCTATTCAATTTTGGAGAATGAGAATTAAACCATATTAACAATAAAATGTAGAGGGCTGTATRTAAGCTCTTTGCTAGTCAAGAAGATTGGTGAGAATTCTGAACAGAAGCTTGTAGGGAAATTTTTAGATTGGAAGATAATCATTGGCTTATTCTTTGTAATAATTTGGAAGAAAACATAATCATTTCTTGTTTGCATTCTACAGACCCAAGAATCAATCTCAGGAATTAGCATTCAGCAGGTAAAAAATAAAGGACTATGAAATATTGCCAGTGCTTCTGTAGCTCACTCTGTCCTTTTACCTTCAATACAAATGAGTTAGAATATTGCTCAATACATAGGTGTTTCCAATGCATTACCAGGCATTGGATCTCTGTCTATTTATATGTCACATTTCCTAAAGTCTCAGTAGATGTCAGTAGTTCAGAGAATTGGCCATATTCAAATCAAATACAAAATGCACAGAATTAACAGCAATGTTCAAAAATGTCAGTCGAATGCAAATGCTTTACTTAGTGCCTTGTTTGCGACTAATATGGTTCAATTTGTGTTGATTCATTTCTCCTGTTGCCATTTGTCCTAATTCACTGTGTCRTGTTTTTATGAGCTGGTGCTGCAGGAAATCTGCAAGCAAAACACGTATTGGTGATATGATATTCGCAACCCAAAAGGTATGCACAGCTCATCTTCTTACTGCTTTGCCATTGCTTCTGAAACAGTCTCCTTTTTATTTGCTGATGATCAGCTTTGTCTTTTACAGATGACAATTTGCAATCACGTTTCCTCTTTTCTTCAGCTCCTTCAACTCCTGTCATTATGAAAAAAAAGAGAGAGAAATAATCAATCAAACAAATAAACAAACAAACAAAAAAATACCCAGTGATTGGATCTGATTGTTGATGCCTGAATTGCAATGCAGCTGAAATTACTGATATATTACTGCTCTTGAAAGCATTTTTCTGCAGTAAC